TACATTATAACACTCAAGTACTTACTTGATTTATTTCTTTGTTAGACATTCCCAACATCCTTTGGGCAGTTTTTGTTAATTCAGAGTTGAATCCATTATAAGTGATGCAATTGTTAACAATTAGATTGACATGCTCCGTAAACTGCTGCCTTGTCTCATACTTGTGCTTACGAATATTCTGAAATAATAACAATGAGTGTACATACATGTAGTAACTCAAAACATATTCTATGTAAAATAAAAATATTGATATCTATCAGAGCTGCAATGAATTAACATTAGTATTACATGTATTTGTAAACTTCAAATGGCAATATATTAAAGAAGTTCTGGCACAAAATTATTGAAAAACAGCATGTGCTATTGCCATTATTAATACATTTTCTAATGTCATTGATGAACTTGTGCAATGGCAATATTTTTAATGCTCATAAACTCAAACTTATTTGTTGGAATCAGCTCAAACTTATAAGGACATTAATGTGCATCATAAAATGTAATAAAAATTTGGGGTAATTTTGGAGCCATTTTTTGGAAACTTGAAAAATTAAAGTCGGAATAAGCTCAAACTTGCTACACAGCATAAGGACATCAATATGCATCAGAAAATTTAATAAAAATCTGGAGTAATTTTGGAACCATTTTTAGGAAAAATCCATGGGCTATATATAGCCTTGGGTATTTTTCAGAATTTTGACGTTTTCTTAAAATGGCCGTAACTTAAAAAATTAAAGTCGGAATCAGCTCAAACTTCTTACACAGCATAAGGACATCAATATGTATCAACAAAATAGTAAAAATTTAGGGTGATTTTGGAGCATTTTTCTTGCTCCAAAATCCCCCATAATAAATCACCATGGTTTTTCTTCTTTGCTGTCATTCATATCACCTTGTGAAACAGTGTCAGTGGTTCGGTCAGTGGGTGTTTCTTTACTCTTTGTATCATCATCACTCTGAACCTTCATACTGCTAGTATTCATACTGCTGGCATCTTTTACTGGTTCATTTTCATGTTCTACATTTTATCCTTATTTTCTTTCATAAGACTTTTATTTATAGATAATAAAAGATAATAATATTTCTTTATTTATAATAAAATAAGTAGGCTTACATGTAAATGTATAATATTATGCTAAAATATAATCATACAAACATAAACTCACTTCTTTGGTGTATTCTAGTGTTTTGATACCTGTGCCAGTGTGCAGCGCTGGTGGAGACCCAGCCCCACCTTTTTATAACTACAAGACCACGCCTCTTCTGACCCCACCCTAAAAACTCAACTAAGAGAAGGTCGTTGTTGTTCATTGTTAGTCTTGTCTGAGGCCCTGGCCTTGGGGTAGCTTCTTTTAATGGAACTATGGCCACTAATCAAACTTGTTTAGGTATGACTCGCCATTTTGATTTTGTATGTACAATGTACATGTAGGTGTTGATGATCTTGTTGATGTTCTTGATTTATTAAAGAGATGTGGCTTTCCTAAAGCAAATTGGTATGACCTTGGACTGAGACTGGGACTAAAGAAGAGTACACTTGATGTCATAGAAAAGAATCATCCTCATGATGTATCTCGCTGTATGACAGAGTGCCTCTCCCAATGGTTAGGTAGAGCTGATAATGTTGACAGTAGAGGAGGAGCCAACTTGGACTCACTGTCAGATGCTCTACGATCTATGAATGAAACTTCTGTAGCTGAGAAGTTAAGTGAGTCAACCATAACTGTATGTAACTATAATCATTGTATTTTCTATCATAGAACATCATGCTCTTATTAATATTTTTAATAATCGTCATACTGTCCTGTCTCAGTCTCTTTGTGATTCTGTTGGTATTGCTGGGTTACTTTATGATGAGCGTATGTTAACGCTAGAAGCAGTTAGTAGAGTGGTGTCAGCTAGTCCCTCTATTCCTAATCAACATGATGCTCTATTAACTGCTGTCAAAGAAGCTGTTCAAACTGATCCCAA